GGAGCAGCATGTACGCCAAAGGGGGCAAGGGCTCGGCCGTGCCCTCCGACGGCCAGGCGCGCGAGAAGTGAGTGGGCGCGGGCGCGCGGGGCCAGCGGTGCGCCAGATCGGGCGGGACTCGAGGGGCGCGCGACGCCCCCACCCCGGGGAGGAAACTTAGAGGTGCGGGGGACGCGGGCGGCGTCGCTTCTCGCTCCTTGCGGAAGTTTCCCTGGCAGGGACACCGGCCGCCCCGGACCCTGGCCGTGGAGAGGGGCACCTTGGGGGCGCCGCCACCTGTGCGCTCGACCCGAGCAGCTGCGCGGGGCCACGAGCGCCGCCCAGGGAGGCCGCGCGGTTCGCAGTTTCGGGTCTCGGGCCGGGCCCCCCATTCCCCACATACGCGCCCGGGGCTCCTCTTGTTCTGGGCATAGCTCTGGGTGGTGCAGGCCGAGTGTCTCTGCTGGTGGAGGGCGGGTCCCTAAGTCCCTAGATCCTGCGGGTGGAGGAAGTGGGGGTCCTCTCTGGGGTCCCAGGGTGGGGACGCAGCCGAGTGTCCTCCAGAGCTGGGCTGCGTCCTCAGTCTGGTACTGCCGTGTCCCTGCTCCGTGGCTGGGATCCAGGGAGCGCCCCTGCCTGACCCGCTTTCCTTCCGTGGGAAGTGCGGGGAGCATTTGAAGGTGCCTCGAGCCGGGACTGCCCCACAACAGGGATGCCCGGGGCTTGGCCGGAGTGCGGGGCCGGGCGGCCAGCAGATTCGCAGGATCCCAGAGGCCCGGCCCCTTGGGGCGGCCCTGCCTTGTGGATGGGGCCCCTGGAGCAGAGGGGGCTGGGTCACCCGGCGGAGTCCGAGGAAGGCTGGGAGGGACACTGGCGACCCCCCACCACCGCTCTGCCAGCCTCCGGGCCTTTTGGAAGCTGACTGCCCCCCAGCCCCGTAGGGTTACGAAGTTGGGTTCGCTTTCCAGCACTCTGAAGCTCAAGGATGCTTTGAAGTGGGCACCTGACCTGTTGCCAGGGTTGGAAGCAGGGTCACCCCACGCTTGCCAGCATGTCCCCTCCCTGTCCCCATCAGCTCCTGGGTCTGGAGGCGACCGCCCACGAGTGGGAGCGGTTCTGTGCTTAGCAGACCTCTGCTCGGCCGCCTGAGGTGCAGCTCAGTGGGGGCACATGCTGGGCACGAGGGAGGCCAGCCCAAGAGACCCGGATGGTGAGAGGCGCTTCAGGAAGCAGGGGCCCAGCACGCAGACACCAGGCGTGGGTCCCTGCGGCTGTGGCAGTGAATGGGTGGGGAGGTCAGGAAGACCCCGGATGGCCACGTCTCCGCACTGGCCCAGCAGGGACCCAGGGGTGGGGAGAGCCAGCGCCTGGAGAGCCCTTGGGACTGGGGGCAGCCGGTGACCCTGGCTCGGTTTCCTCATGTGAGCTGTGGACAGCTTGCTTTTGGAGTCCTTGGGGCTGGGGACACACACAGGTCAGGCACCGGCACCGCAGCCCCTGACTCAGGAAATACCAGCTGCTGGCCAAGACGCTTCCTGTCCCCGGGCCTCGGTTTCCTCTTCTGGGAAGTGGGGTGAAGAGGGCTACGCGGTTGCCCTCACCTCTGCCACCTTGTCCTCCCTGCTTGGAGCCTGCAGACATGGAGGGGTCTCCACGCCACCCCTCGGCCGCTCCTTCCCCCAGGCTCCCTGGCACCCAGCAGCTGCCCCTGGAAGGGACGGAGTGCTTGGCGGTCCCACTGTGACCGCAGAGCCCAGACAGCGCAGAGGCAGCGGTGGCTGGGGTCTGAGTGGGGCACCCCGGTGGCCGATGGGGTGTTACCACCTGCCTGCCTGCGGCCTGCACTCTTGGGCTCGATGCCCGCTGCAGGCTCCACGGTGACAGCCAGTTGGCATCACGGGCTTGGTTTGGAGATGGCCCGCAGTTGCTGCTGTCACCTGCTCTGAGGGTCAGGGTCTGAGCAAGGAGCTCAGCCAGGGGCCCCGGGCTCGGGAAGTTGCGGCTGCAGGGCAAGGTGGGGAGGAAGGAGACGGCTGGGGACGACACTGCTGAAGGCCTGACTTCAGCCTGGAGGGGTTGGAGGGCACAAGGCGAGTGGAGAGTGTCTCAGCCCCAGCCACCTGTGCTGGGCACAAACCCTTGGGGTGGGGACAGAGCACTGCCCGGGCCGTTAGTGGTGAGCTGGGGTCACCGATGTCAAGGGCAGCGCTGAAGCTCAGAAAGCCTTCTGTCCCCGGGGCACTGTGCCCCTGGCAGCTCCTGTTCTCCCAGGCCAGCGCTCCCACCTGCTTCCTGCCCGCAGCCTCGCGGTGCACAAGGTGCGGGGTGAGCCCAGGACCTCACTGGCTGCCCCCCTCGGCCCTGGTAGCCTCCGCTCCTCCGGCTGCGGTGTAACTGAGCTGTGGCTCCAAGTGTGTCCCACGGGGATGGAGGAGGGGTGGCCCCAGGGCAGGGGCAGAGCTGGGGCGGGGGTCCCACACCCCTGTCCCAGGGTTGGCGGGGCTGGCGCTGAGTGCGGACGTGGGGGTGCGGGGAGCAGGATGGGAGGCCGGCGGTGGGGAGGGGGCTGGCGGGGGCTTATTATAGAAGGGCCCTGAGGGGGTCAGGCCGCTGAGCCTGTGCAGCCCGGAGCCCCCAGGGGCTGGCGGGCCGCGGGGACCTGAGGTGTTGGAGCAGCTCGGGTGTGCTGGCCCTGGGGGTGGCGACCCTCCCCTCTGTCCCCTGCCATGAAGGTGACCGCTGAGGGCACGAGGGCAGCCCTGGGGTGGCCTGGCTGGGCAGGGAGGCCTAGCCTTTGTTCTAGGGAAGCAGGGGCGTCCAGCGTCCCCGCAGGCGCACAGGGCACAGGACTGTTACAGCAAGGGCCCTGTGGCCCCGCGTGGCCCCGCACCCGTCTGCTCTGTTCCTGGAATCCCGGGGAGTTGTACGGTGACCCCAAAGACCAGGCGGTGGCTGAGGGACGCCAGGGAAGGGGAGGCCGGTGGAGTGCCCAGGGCACATCATGCCTGGGCAGACCTCCCAAAGCTCGGTGCAGTGTTGGTAAGACAGGGTCAGTGTTGGTCCACGAGGGAGAGTCGAGCCAGGCAAAACGTCCTAAGGTCACGAGGTGGGGCGCGCAGGGTGGGTGTTCATGGACGTGTGCGAGTTGGCAAAGCCGGGGATGCCATCTTCTGTGAGGGGTGGGGGACGGCAGCGAGGCCAGAGTGGGCTTCAGGAGGGGCCTCCACTTGCCCACCGGAGCGGGCGGAGCTGGGGTGGCCCTGCCGCCGGGGACCCTGACCCGCCACCCGCCCCGCAGGCTGGCGCTGTACGTGTACGAGTACCTGCTGCACGTGGGCGCCCAGAAGTCCGCCCAGACCTTCCTGTCCGAGGTAAGGGCCCCACAGGGGCCCGCCCCCCACCCTGTTTGCACCGGCGGGGCCTGTTTGCTCCGGCCTCACCGCGCCCTCTCCCTGCAGATCCGGTGGGAGAAGAACATCACGCTCGGGGAGCCCCCGGGCTTCCTGCACTCCTGGTGGTGGTGCGTGCGGGCCGCCGGGGTGAGGGGGCGGGGGCCACCGGGGGGAGGGCGGGCGGCGGGGCGCGCGCGGCGGAGCGACCGGACCCTCTCCCACCCCCGCCTCCGCAGTGTGTTCTGGGACCTGTACTGCGCAGCGCCGGACCGCAGGGAGGCCTGCGAGCATGCGGTCGAGGCCAAGGCCTTCCAGGACCACGTGAGTGCCGGGGTCGAACACCCTCCCGGGTAGGGGCACGCTGCTGACTTCCACTGGGCCGGGGGTTCCGTCCCTGGAGGTGCCCGGCGCGCTGTGCGCGGCAGCGGGGCTGCGCTGCTGCCCTGCCCGCCGGGCTGTTCGCGCTCGGCCGGTTCCTCCGCCGGG